AAAGAGTTACAATGTTGGAAACCCCACAGGGACACTTCTACTCTGACCTGCAGGATCGCTATGAGTTGGAATCAACTTGATGATGGTGAGATGATGTATCTGTGTGTGTGTATATGTCAGAAGACTAAAAACTGGTTTATGGGCAGAAAGGACCTTTATAAGCATAAAAACAGAAGCCCACGCCAAATCTGTTGCCACGGAGTCTGCCCTGACTCACGGCGCACCAGCCCCCCCAACCCACCCCCAACCCTGGCTGCGAGTAGAAGCACTGCTTTGGGTTATCTCAGCTGCCGTCTTTGCGGCCCGGCATATAGCCCGGCGTTTCCTGCGCAGCACCGAAGGGGAGGCTCAACCAGACAGCCTTGAGGCTGGCAGTCCAGTGGCAACCATTGATGTCGGCCGGAGAGCAACAGAAGCGGGGCCAATGCTCAGCTCTGGGCCCCACGGACAGTTCCAGCTCCCCCAGCAAAGGCCCCAGAGCCCATCAACCAAGGGTCCCGAAAATCACCTTGGCAACATTGACGTCCACAAAAATCAATGGACGACGGAGAAGACAAGGAAGTGAGAACTCAAGTGGCAAATAAACAACCCTACCTCTCCCACAGATTGGTATCAACAGGATGCAAACAGCAGCGACCAGGAACACCTGTCCCCCCAGCACCGCCCCCTCCCCTGCCTCCCAGGCAATTAGAGAAGAGCTGGCTCAGGTGCTCCCGCTCAGAGAGCGCCCCCTCCCTAGGGCAGCATTTCCGGAAGGCCCGTGTGGGTCAAGTGCCTCTGACCCAGAAAGTGTACTGGAGAAGCAACGCTGGAGAGCACTTAGCCCTCGCCTCGCTGGCTCAGGAAGGAGGCCGTAAACAGGCCTGGCTGTTCTAGCAGACACCCACTCACCCACTCCACCACGGCCCACCGGCACTTCCCACTCGGCATTAACCAGTGGCTGTTTCCAGTTGATTGGTTGGTGAGCACGTACGATCTTTTTCCAGATGTCTACAAAGAGGCACGTCGCTTCTATCAGATAAGAAACCAACCAACTGGACTCTTGTTTTTAGCCCAGAATGTTCAGTCTTGAATGTACATCTTGATCCCAAGGAAGAGGGGCATCCGACCCAACTGGACCCAACCCTCTATCTAGCACACAGCCCACAGGCACAACCCGGCCCCAGGCTCGTTGCTATAAATAAAGTTTTATTGAAACCTAGCTGGGCCCTTTGGTTTACGGGCTGTCTGTGGCTGCCTGCCGCCCTGGGGCAGTGACAGAGCAAAGCCACTGTGCCAGAGATCAGATGCACCACCCCCACCACCCCCACCGGCGTCTAAAGTATGGGCTCTCTGAACCTTTGTGGTTAATATTTGGCACACCCTGGTCTAGTGCGAATGACTCTATCGAGTCAGTCACGTGGCCACAAACCTAAGGGCCCAGCCTTCAATAAGGAGGCCAGGAAAACCTCCCCGGACCCCCCCACCGCTGCCCTGGCCTTACCTTTCTGGCAGTGGCTGTGGGTCCAGCACCGCTCAACGAACTGCCCGTTGATGACAGTGGCTGGGCAGTTGCTCTTGCCCTTGGCATTGACTGGGCAGATGTCCCCACACTCCTCATTGTCGTTTTTGTTCAGCAGGATGTAGTTGTCCTCCACAGAGTCCAGGATGCGCGACCAGTCAATGGTGGCCAGGTAGCAGAGCTCATTGTTCTTCTCGATGCGCACGGACCCCCGTGTGATGTTCATGAGGCTGTGCAGGCCCAGCTCCTTCAGGTGCACCATCTCGAAGATGACCAGCGCGTAGTTGAAGAAGAGGCGCGAGCCCCGGATGACCGTCAGGTTGGGGAACAAGTCTTTGAGGCTCTCCAGCCCGTAGACGCGGAAGAGCAGCAGGTAGTCGGTGATCATGATGAGTTTGGGGAAACTGAGGTCACGGAAATCCTCGGGTCTCGTCTTAAACATCAGCAGGATCTGCAGATGCCCTTCGATGACGGAGCAGTTTTCCAGCTCGTGCAGCCGGGTCAGGTTGTTTCGAATGTCCATGCCGGGACACACTGGGCGGGGGAGAGCGGGGAGGAGAAGACGGGTGAGCAGATGGGGCCACTAAGACAGCACTCTATATCGCACTTGGGTGAGTAGCCACTGGGGGTGGGGTGGTTCTTAAAAGCTGTGTCTCTTCCCATCCAGAGGAAAGAGGAATGACAGAAATCAAGGATTCAAGGAAACACCGGGTCTAAGGAGGGCTCTGGAAACCTCAGCCTCTGTTTGCTTAGGATCAGAAGGGACTAGATGGTGCCCCGCGCTACCACTACCAACCCGACCCGCTCGGGTCAGTCGGCACCGAGCGTGAGACATAAATGTGGATCAAAGCTGACGTTGTAAAGAAGGCCAGATCAACCGGTCTGGCAGAGTCTGGCGGAACCCCGGAGACTATGATCCTTAGACACCCTTCAAACTTGGACCTGAACCCTCCCTGCCTTAAGGATCACCTTTCACCCCAACAACAGACAAACCTAGAAAGTGAACGGTAACACCCTCGAGGAATGTGCTCTTCAGTTATCAACTAGCCAGGACCCAAAGGGCAGCCTGTGCCCCAAAAACCAAACTCGGGTAGGCAGGAGCGGCGGGAGAGGAGGAGGAAGGGCATCGGGAACCCCAGGAGGAAGTGGGCCTTGTGTTGCGAGAAGATCGCGGCTGAAGTCACGACAGGAGCTGGGCGTCAACCGTTGACTGGGGAAACCAGCGTGTTTGGTAAACACACACCCGAATCACAGTCAGCCGTTCAGCTGGAAACCAAATGAAAGTGAGCCTTTCAATAAGTACCACCCGGCCTGAGGGCTCTGCCCCCTGGTGCAAACAGCTAGGCGCTGGGCTGCCCACTGGAAGTCTCAGTCTACCCGTAGGCACCTCAGAAGAAAGGCCTGGATATTGCCTTCCAAAGCGCCAGCCCCGTGAGCTGGACAGAAGAAGAGGACCACGTCGTCCTCCTCCTCCCGGGCCCGGGGAGCCACTGCGTGGTTCCAACTGCCAGTCTTCCAGCAGGCGGCCAAGTGCTTAACCACCGGGCCACTGGCGCTCCTTGTAAGAAAGGCAGGGCAACCCCTTGGAAAGGAGGGCCTGGTGAGCTACTTCTAAATTCCGCCATGGACACTGCCCATCCCGCCCCACCCCCAACCCTGGGGCACAAGGTAGCACCAGGCGTGTGGGAGAGGGCGCCTGAAGATAATTGGTTTTGTTTTCTGTTATTTGGGGGATGCTTTTTGGTGGGAGGGGGCAGTGTCTTGCCATTCTGAAGAACAGGGAGCCCCTGTCCCCACTTGGTGCCTAAGTGCTTTGTGCCCAGCGGCCAGGAAGGACCGCTGGCAGCACTTGTGTGGGGCCTGAAGGTTACGAATCACCTGCAGAACAGCACCAACGCTGATGCCACTGGGATAAAGGGGTCACGTGGGCAGTTGGGCAACAATGGGCAGATGCAGAAGGGGAAAGGGGAGTCGTCCCTGCCTCACCATGGGGAAGTGCTCCCGGAAACACTTTAGGGGGATAAAGGTGCCTGCATCCCCAGTGGGCCTAAGGGAGCTTCAGGGATTTGTTTTGTCAGCTCCCTAAGCCAGACCGCCCTCCTGGCCCGAAGTCAAGACCTAATTACCTTTCACCTGGGTGCGCCGTGCTGAGGGCCTCCCAGCCCGCCTGGTCTCCCTGGGAATCTGCCTGCACACCCATTCCTCCAAAAATGCTCCACCTGCCCAGGCTCCAGCACCCTCCACGGCTCCTGCTGGGCCCACATGTCGCAGGAACACCCTCAAAGGTTCTGCCCCTCTGCTAGCTCCCCATTCCCGGGCCACGAGGACACCCCAGGTTAGACAGGCTGCCTACCCTCTCACAAGGCTCTGTGTCCTCCCCTCCAAAACAGCCTAAGAGGAGAAACAATGAAGTGAAGCAGAGCTGCCTACCCCCCGCCACACACACACACACACACACAGCAATGCATAGTGCGTGCCAGTCTGGGTGTGATGGTTCATTCTCCAAGTCAACCTGCCTGAGCTATAGTTCCCAGTGGACTGGCCAAACCCTAGTCTGGGTGCTATTCCGCAAAGTGGTGGGGGTGTGGTGTAATCCCCTTCCATAACGTAATGTGATCGCCTTCCATAACGTAATCTGAGCATGCTCTATAATGTAATCGGATGCAGTAGAAGGTCATCACTTTCCATAATGCCATCTAATATGATCACTCGACCACTAGGAAGGGGAGTTCCTACAGTGGTGTGGTCTGCCTTCCGACTATAAATAGACAAAAAGCCAGAAGGAACCTCCAGCTTGTCACCTGATCTACAGGGTTTGGACTTCCCAGCCCTTAAAATGGTTATGTCTAAATCCGTGAAGTGAATTTCTTCCTCCCTCACTCCTTCCCTCTACACACACACACATACAGGCTTCAAAACTTCAAAACGTTCATTGGTGGGGAAGATGAAGTCGAAAGAAAATGTGATTTTTCCACCAACTTCTTAAAGTCTCTGTGTGTGTGTGTGTCCATTTATCTCACCAGTCCTAATACAGTGCTCAACTAACCCTCTCATGACCCACAGGACATGCAGTGCCAACCTACACGTTCCTCCTCAGCTGACCGGAAATGGAGCTCTCGGGAGGGGACCTGTGTGACCGTCTGAAAGCGAAGGAGCAGGTGGGGGCTGAAAATTCCAGTCTTTACAGGATATTGTGTGAGTGATACATCCTGGAGGTGTGGTTTTGCAAATCTGTTACCACATACATACGGTATGTTCTCGCTCGGATGAAACACGTAGAACAAGCAAATGTGTCGAGGGCAGAGTTTATTGGTGTTTACGAGAGGCAGGAGGCTCCGTGTGTGTGTGTGTGTGTGTTGAAGCAAGGCTGGAGTCCACCCAGAGGCACACTCGGAAGAAAGGCCCGGTGATCTACTTCTGAAACACCAGCCCCTGAAAATCCTACGGCGCAGAGTGTTGTTCGGCAGCCACCAGGTGAGGTGGCATCTGTCTCCATCTCTTTATGGCTCTTGAGCACTTGAAGTGCGGATCGTGCAGCAGAAGGTCTGAGTCTCTAACTTTAGCTCACTGTGCATGGATTTAAATAGGCACGCTGAGCAGGGCTAACCTCAGAAGGGTTCCCACTGTCACAAACGGTTTGTGCTTGATGTCCAACTGGGAAGCCGGCAGCGGTGATGCACCCATGGTGCCAGGGAAGAAATGCCCGGCGATCTGCTTCCGTGCAGAGGGTACCCGGGAGGACCCCACGGAGCTGCTCTGCGCTGCAGCCAGGGGTTCCAGACTTGGAGTGGACTTTGTAGCAATGACTGGGTTTGCGCCACAGTCAACAGTTTCAGAGCCACCCAGGATAGCTTCCCTTTCCCAATCCCTGCCCCTCACACTCCCACCCTGCCCCCACAGTCCTCAGCCCCGTCCCAAAGCCCTGACCACTTCACTCCGGGACCCTCAACCTGCCCCACGGTCTTTGAGGCAAACAGACAGTGCTAAAGAACGGTAGTGAGTGCTCTGTAGATGTGCCGGGAGCAACTCACCAAGGCAGCCCCTCAGAAAGAAAACTGCCGAGCAAAGAACTGGGGCACACACAGCAGCCATGTTCCAAGTCCCCATCCGTCCAGGACGGATCAGCTGTCCAGGGAACACATGCACCAGCATACACCACACAGATACAGACACCATGCACTACACACCCACCGCACAGACACTACACACACGCCATGCACATACAACACACACCGTGCACACACACCACGCATATAAACCACACACACACCATGCACACCACGCACATTCATCACACACTGTGCACACATACTACACACATATACCACACACCACATACACATATACCATGCATACCATATGTACCATGAACACACACGACATACACCACACACCACACAACTATGCACAAATTACCACACACTACAAACACACTCAATTACCACACATATACACCATGCACACCACATGTACCACGCACACACCACATATATGCATCACACACCATGCACACACACATACCA